GTTAGGACTGTCCTCAATTCACCAGATAGGTATTATAAGAAAATATTTATTCCCTCAAAACCAAAATGAAAGCAATCTTATTAAGAGACAGTGAGTACCTAATAGTTTATTTTGGCTTTATGTATGAATTGTGAATAATTACCTATAGAATTATCTCATTAATATTACAGATTTTACGAGGCATATAGACTATGCCATTATACCTGAAAAATATGACTGATAAAAAGTAAATTTATTACTAAAAACCTTTTTTTGTGCCGAAAAACTAAATATTACTTTCATACTTACTTATAAAGTTTTTTACTGAATTGTCAAGATAAATTTCGGAACTCACAATAATTAAATAAAATATTAGTAAACACTGAACAGTTTGGTGAAAACTTGTAAAACTTTTGGCGGGATGAGAATCGTTTGTATTATACGGATATTTAAGATTGCCATACGTTGATTATAGCCATCGTATAAATGAAAGGTTGTTTTTAAATATGTCGGTTAATACTGTGGATAAAAGAGTTCTTTATAGTGTCTTGATAAGTTGCAACGAAAAATAAAATTCATTAATATACTAAGTTGTTCGTAATATTATTATAATATTTTATGTTTAAACAATGTTTAGCCACTAAAATTTTATTTAAAAGAAATATATGTATTGTTTAATATTATATATTTCAAGTTACGGTAAAAACCGGAATTTGACATTATAAGAAATCCAATAACGCCATTCACTCCAATCGATCACGAAAATTGTCTTTGGAAACGAACATTCGTTGGTGTATACGAAAATGATAAAGAGTAGCGTTCCATGCGAATTTCGTTTTAATTTCGTTCGTAAACGAAATTTCGTTTTCGAGAAAGCGAGTAGGCCTCCGGTTGTGGACCTGAAACATCGGTAAATGGCGCCTCTAACCACGGACATAATTCAATGTATTACATTACATATGTGTTTTTTAAATGTTACATTTTAGCAACAATAAACTTCAGTGTAACAAACTTTTTTAAGGAATATTGAAAATAAATCTTACTAAAATATAGAAAAGAAAAGGAAAGAAGTCATCTCTGTGTGTAATATGAGAAATGCATGTATGAGTGTCGAGAGGGTGTATGGTTAAGTTATATTATAATCGGTAACATATTAAATTGTGTAGATAAATAATTTATATATTTAATGATGGTTGAGGAGAATGTGGACTTTCGCAATGATAACCAAACTTAGAAATTTGAACAAAAATCCAGGATTATATACTATTACATATCACCCAAAAGTTTTAATTACTAATTCAGTATCCTCGTATGTTTGTTCCAAAACCCAGTTTGTAACTTTAATTTTACAATCAAACCTATTAAGGCTCTAAATGTTAAGTATTTTGTTATATATAATAACAATATAATTTAAAATAATATATACTCGTATAACTCGGACAATATCTATATCTACCTAACTACTTAATATTTAGTAGAGGCCCCACCAGCGTCAATTACTGCATCGCAGCGCCTACGCATGGACTGACTGCACGGGGTTTCTACATAAATCTGAACCTTGAAGGGAGTCCCAAATTTCATTACAGTGGGTAGTGAGTGCGGGTTTGGTGCGTTCACCAATTTAAGTGCGTTCAACCATTTATAAATGGTCGATTTTTAAATTTAGAAACCAACACCATTTATAAATGGTCGATTGGGTCAAGATCAGGAGATCGAGAAGGCTATGACACACCTTATTTCCGATTGTTGGCTAAGCCAATCTTGGACTAACTACACATGCACGGTGTATGGGATAAATTGTCTTGAAAAAAAAAACAAAGTTTGGTAGTTTATCCCTCGGATACACCGTGCGTACTCAAGGCAACATAACTTCCTCCAGCAATTCCTTATACATTTGTCCAGTGGCTCTCCCGTCGATATATGCCAGATCACCAGCGCCATCAGCATTCGTCCAGCCCCACATGTTTACAACGATGCTACCAGAATCGTTGTTGGGACGCACAATCCTGGGCACATATCGTGTGTAGTCCATACGCCATAAATTCTGACGACCATGTCCATGTTCACTTCTTGTTGATGACCATGTTCACTGGACTTAAAACATTTTTCATCAGAAAATATGGCATTTTCAAAATTAAAATCGCGATAATCCCGTGCGAACCTAACACTGGGAAAACCTAACAGGGAATGCTCCAAGAAATTGTTCGGACTCATACCTGCCGCTACCTTCCGCCATCGTTCCACTCGACAAAAAATCCACACCCATCATTTGGATGTTTGGAAGTCCCCAATTGTGCGTTTTTGCTAGAAGTTTCCTGCCTCGCACAGTCAAACTCTGGAACAGTTTGTCGGACCGATACGACCTTCAAACTTTCAAGCATAGAACATATTCGTCCCTCAAAGGCCGGCAGCGCAACAAGATTCAGGGGTCAAAACATTTTTAGAAACACTAGACTGATAGTGAAGTTAGATATGAGGTGAGATTACAGTCTTGCATAATTGAAAAAGTGGAAGATGACAATTGTAGTATAGGGCATAATATGCCACATCTAGCTGTTATAAAAGAGTAACTACCAAAATCAGGCCCGTGTTTGATGCTTCAACTTTAGATAGCAATGGGTTTTCATTTAATTCATGTCTAATGTGTGAGAATGCATGCTGGCTGACTCATCAGAATACCATACAAATTAAAGTTTTAATTTTGAACACAATATTGTTAGATTTAATAAGGTATATATTGTGTTTAGGATATTGAAGGATATAGTTATTTTTTTATTTTGTAAATTGCATTATGTTTGTATGGCGTAAGAAGACACATGATATTGTTGACCAGTGCCATGGCGGGGACAATTTTGTGAATCATATCTTAAATAAATAATAAATTTTAATTTCCAAAGCAGCATATGAGTCATACAAACACAAAAGTCGTCTGTTATTTCTGTGATTTATTGTAGATTGATCACTCACAGTAAACAGTATCGTAGACATTCCCGCAGATTTGATTGCTTTGCTTGGTGTCTAATTGTTTCGAGATGTATTGTGTGGCAAAAATCCTTAAATTTATACTTATTTGTGGTGCAGACATGCCGACACTTCTGTATTTACTAAGCACATATAGCAATTTCTTAATAACTTGTTACACTTCCTTTTCCTTCCTTCCTTAGTTTATCTAAGGGCTCATCTTCAGAAACTAGGTACGTAACGTTAAATCTATGTTTTTACATGTTCATATGGTGGAAAAACCTTTCCACGAATAGGTGCAAATCGTGCATACTAATTCAATAATTTTCTTACTTATCGCATTATTTATTTATTTCATTACATTTAATAAAATAATTTTAATATTTATATACAACAAAAAATATCCTTAAGCGATTTGTGAAATATAGGTTGTTTACAAATAATCGATTAAACGTCAAATAAATAGGGAGTCGACGTATCGAAATATCGATAATTATTTACATATCGATTACCGAAATATTAGAATAGGTCGCTCAAACTCGAACTCACTAAAATCTGGTAAAAGCGTACTATGTGGCTACACCGATGATATTTTTCTGTTGCATTCATATTCAAAGGTATTTATTTAAGACGTGACGTTTTTGTGCATGTTCCCTTAACCTTTGCCGCTTACCTTTGAGATATGTGCTATTGGTATAGTAAAGTAAAAAGTAATGCTGCCAAATATTTGATTTTAAGAAAAAAATTTACTTGAATTGAATTTAATAGTTTTTTGAATCACCTATATATAGCATTTCATCCTATCAATTAAAAATAAATAATTTAAAAGATCCGTAAAAGATCCGCGACAAAAGTAAAGGATACGGATACGGATCTTTATTTGCCGTCGGATACCCGGATACGGATATGGGAATCCGGAACATCACTAGTTATTACATAGACGCCTTTGTATTTGTAATATAAATATTTGTTTATTGTATGTGTATTATAGTACAATTTATAGAATCGTATGTATTGACATTAGTTTAGAGATTTTGAACATATAATGAACATTTGATATTGAAGATTATAAAAATCAAATTTAAAATCATAGACTTTGATTTTGACCTTTGACCATTATGATTCCTAAATGTTTATATTACTGCTGATAGTATAGGACACAATTTTTATGGCACACTTCGAAGAACACTCTTTCTTATAAAGATATCAACAACCCTAGTTATGATATTCACCTGGACACAACTAGGAGATTTTCTGGACTAGCCATTGAAGTAGTGGCGATTGGTCGTCTTTCACGAAAACAGGATTAGAATTCAAAAATTATTAATAATTAAATTAAATCTACAGGGGCACCCATCATCATGGACATGCCTCAGGGATTAATATCAGGATCATTGATTTTTCTAATTTACTTTAATGATCTTCCCCACTTGACGAAGAATTTGTGTGAGTTTGTAATAATACTAAGCTGGCCGTGTTATTTATAATATACGGTCTAAAGAATCTTATAAAAAAGGTTAACATTTTGTATCTCAATACATCTATTTCAATATTATGTAAGTAAGAAAACGGTAATATTATTCGTATATAAAAAAAAGTGGTGTTCAATAATTTTAACACAAGAACTAAAAATAAGCTTGCTGTTTCAATCCAAGTTTAAGACTTCAAAAAACGAGAGGATCGTTTTTAAGTAAAGGCATTGTAATGTTCAATAAAATTCCTCAAAATGTAATTGACCTACTTGTAAATAAATGTAAAAACGTAAACCTCGTTAATTTTGATTAAATTTTTTCGGTAGTAAATTTCTTTCGCTTATTCTTCTTGCCAGCCAAAAGACTAGCTTTGACCAGCTATCTTACTATAGCACAATTCTGACGATATGATGTCTGGATAAAAAAACGTCACACATATTCATTATTGTAAAATTATTATCAATTAACAATTAATCGATTTCAAGCGAATAAAAAATGAACTATGTTATAAAAAAATCGATATTTAGCATTATTTTTATATACTACTCTAACGCAATGTTGACATTGTTGTTGTCACTTGTCAATGTCAAGTCGAAAAACTCAAAAAATCGGATGTAAAGGTGTTCTTAACGAAGGTATGTGAAACTAAAAACTCTATTAACATTTTTAATTTATTCATTAAATTCAAGTCTATCATTATAAATTACTTTGCATTTAATAATATAGTTGTTATCTTTAATATTTAGTTTTGTGGAGTGGTGTGGTGAAGTGAAATGTCTTTTGAGACCTACCAAAGTTATCGAATCCGGTAAAATTTGTAACGACTCTTGTAAATAATAATTATTATCGTCATTTCCAAGGTCAATGCTTACTTGAGCATATATTACCTCATATCATTGTTTTCCATAACCCATTCATTTATCTTATCAGTATGCCTGTCGGGGGTATAGTTTATATCAATTTTATTTATTCTGAAAACTTTTTGTACATAATTTTTCTTCATATATTAGTGTATCTATGCATATCAATTGATAAATCTAATGGACTTTCATATATTTAGTATTAATCCTATCTATTTATCTATTAGTATAGATTTGTATTTAAAATTATAATCTTAAATTTGCATGTACTATCATTTTAAATAAATATAGTTAAAAAAGAAATAACCTCTGCAGATTTTTAATATTTGTCAGGTGTTACATAAGAAGTAATCGAATATTATTGTTATTTAAAAATTATTACTACTAAAAGTTTATTTTTGACAAAAATCAATTGAGTGTAATTATCTCTTTTATAATAGTACTATCAAAAAATACACTATGATTAGTTGTTGTTAAGACATATTACCTTTAAAGTTACACAAAATATAATATTTCACTCTGATTTTATTTGCACATTAATTTATTACAATGATTGATACATTGTATAAAAATTGTCATGGTAATTGTTTCAGAATTCTAAGTTAGTTAGTTATAGCATAATTTGATTTCAGATGTTTAAATTAAGCGCAAACTTATCCAGAGGCACTACAGTGTTTCTGAAACGTACAATGTCAACTCAGGAGGCTGATGTTTTGTTCGAGACATTAAATAATGCTGGCATTATAACATTGAATAGACCAAAAGCTTTGAATTCTTTAAACACATCAATGGTTTCTAAACTACTGTCACAACTTCAAGAATGGCAAAACCAGAAATCACTAGTCATAATCAAAGGAGCTGGGGACAAAGCATTTTGTGCCGGAGGTGATGTCAAAGCTGCTATAGACAAGGTTGAAGGGCCAAGATTTTTCAGGACTGAATACAATTTAAACTATCTTATTGGAAACTACAAAATTCCATATATAGCTTTTATCAATGGCATCACTATGGGTGGTGGTATGGGTCTATCTGTCCATGGGAAGTACAGGGTTGCAACTGAGAAAACAGTGATTGCGATGCCAGAGACAAAAATAGGCCTCTTCCCAGATGTAGGTGGTTCTTACTTCTTACCTAGACTGCAGGTTAACTTAGGATTATATTTAGGTTTGACTGGTATGTGTAATTTACCATAAAAATATTTTTCAGCTATTACTTATTATGTGAGCAATAATTATTGTTTTCTTTACTGCTTGGTAGCTTATTCAGTTTTGTTTGCAAGTCATTAGTATATATTAATGGTGTGTACTTTGTGCCCTCTAAAGGTGACAGATTAAAAGGGAAAGATGTTGTTAAAGCTGGTATAGCTACTCACTATGTTCCAAGCAAACGCTTATATGAACTAGAAAAGCTTTTATCAAGATGCACTAACAATTCTGAGGTCAGCTCACTACTTAGCAAATTCAATGAGCCAACAGAGCAGTTTTCCTTGGCTGAACACATTAAACATATCAACTATTGCTTTGCTGCTTCCTCAATTGAAGAGATTATTGAAAGGTTAGAAAAAGTGCAAAATGATTGGTCAAAGAAAACATTAGAGGTGAGTGAAGTTCAATATTGAATATTTAAATGAATCATCAGTAATTTGAGGCCAAATCATGCTAACAAATTATTTTAGATTGAAATATTATATATATTTATATATTGTTAATAATAACTCTTTTTATTGGTGTGATATAGTAACATTAGTGTAAACAAGTACATTATCGATAAAAATGGTATATTGTTTTAAGAATTTAATATGTATTTATATCCTAAGGTCCATTCGAAAAAATAACAGTTATGCTTTTTTATATATGCAAATACAATAAATAATCTAAAATGCAGATAGTATATGTTTGACAAGGCTGTATCAAATATGATACAATAATATCTTTTGTATTCTAATGAATATTATGTGAGACACGAAACTGAAAAAATAATATAATATCTTTATATTATATTATTTGAATAATTAAAATATATTTGCTCATAGAATAGTAAAAAGCTCATAGATATGTTGATTCCGCAAATATGTATTACAAAAAAAAATCAAAATTTATATCAGTAAGGCCAAATTGGCCTCGGCTCAGTGTAATGCCGTATATTAACATTTCCATAGTCAAATATGTTTGTATGTATTTCATTTTAAAAGGTTTCTTTTTAAAAAATGAATACCAGTGATATCCTGGTGTATTTGCCACTAATTTCGTCAGATTACATATAATTTCTATGGCAGTTGCTCCAAAGAAAATAGATTTGATACAAAGAAATTTAAAAAATATATTTATACCTGCAAATTTACAACACAAAATAGATGACTAGAAAGTGGTAAAGTTATTATTTAATATCTAGAGCCGCTGGAGCTTATTGTTAAGAAGTCTGGTTTATGAAAATGCTTAAAAAATCCGCTTGATATTTTCTTGATTTATATTAAGAATATTTTAGTATAGCATTGTGAATGCAAAATTAATCAAATAAAATAATTTATGTACACATTTTAATTTCGTTGGTAACTTTTCTAAGTTCTTTGATCAGCTTTTAAATTTTTTGGTCTCCTTTCAAATTTTTTTGACAAAATATAATTTCCTTGGGCTATATAATTATTATTTACTAACACTATATCTAAAAGGGTCAGACACTTAATGCAGTATTTTAGAAAATCTTTAGTGTTTTGTAAGTTTAGGCTTCTAGGAAATGCTGGTTACCTACGGACTGATGAACTATGTTGATAATGACGAGAAAAAAGATTTGTATATATTTTGAATCACATTTATTCATAACTTTTTTGGATTATGCTATAGAATTAACAAAATGGCACAAATAAATAGTTTTTATTTTTATAATAAATACTCTTACATTTTGTAAAATGCCCATAAATAACATCAACATAACGTTACTTTTTGACACTGCTAAGCTAGAACTTATTACGAATTACGTAGTCAGAAATTAAGAAATTTCATTTTTCGTGTTTGCACCTCATAGTTTAATCCCACTTTTCTAATACATCAATAACATTTTAAAAATTGTAATATATGACAAGCCTTTGATATTCAAAGATAGATTCGCTGTAGACTTTGAATAATTATTCAATCACATCTTTCACAGGTTCGTCATATTATAAGAACATTACAATGTTCTCATTCTTATTGGTCTTAATTAGAACAAATTGCTGCATAGCAAAAAAACGAATATAAAAACAGTTCGTATGATTACCTAAATAATTTAATTAAAATAGTTAAATAGAAAAATTACATACCCCGTTTCTAGTCCGTAATAGGTTGAACTTGGGAGATATTTCACGAAAATATAGGTTTACATTTTTCACATTAAAATTATAATAACTTTATTATTATTAGATTTATATGATGAATTATCATGTTCTCACCAGATGATTTTTTTACGAACTGACATTCATAGAGAGCATATTCGATTAGTGAAAATTTCAAATTACGAAAGGTAAAAGGTACGAATAATAAAAAGAAATGATGTTGAAGATTAAAGCCAAAAAGTTAGCATGCGGTGATACCTAGAACGAAATAAACGGTGGTGCTAAAATCAATCAAATAATATAAACTTTTTTATATCAATATTTAAATTAAAATTAGTATTCCGGGAATTTTCTTTTCTAATTTCACTGTTTATCATTACCCAAGTCATTTTTAAACAATTTAGAGTAATTTTGTACATATTCTTTGACGCCCTCGTTTGTGTTATAATTACGTTCATAATATAATTCATAGAGCCTTTTTCTGCTTTTGTTGATTCTAGGTGTAGCCCACACACTAACAGTTATAGTATTACTAACAGTAGTTTTTTGGGACAAAAATGTTTTTGAATTCTGTGCAATAAACATCAAAGAAATCTTTGTACTAATCATTGGCATTATTTATATGTTTCGAATGCCACAATTTATATTTATGTATATTCATTAATAATGAATTAAAGGAGAATTCAATCATATTTAATGGACTAGGGAATGTTGGTCCAGATTATGATATTTAGGGTAAAATTAGACACAAAATTCTAATTATCACCTTGCCAAGCTATATAGAGGTACTAGTAAATCTTCCGAAATAGGCTGATCAGTCACTTGTACATGATAATGAATTAATCAGAATAAACTTTGATTAATCAATAAATACACTCACCTAGGGATTGATAAAGTCACGTAGGTAGGATAGGCACGTGTTATATTTCTAGAAATAAATATTCTCAAAGACAAAATTTCGTAATTCGGACACTACTGAGATTGACATTCGGGGTATGAAAAAAATATTTTCACTATTTTTACAGAATATCCCATATAAGACAGATATTACCTTTATTTTCTCTAAATGGTTAAATAACTGTTTACTATCTATCTGTCGAATTTCTGATATGATACATAGGCAAACAGTGTATGCAACGAATGTTATAGACGCTGCATACAATGTGTCCGGGCTCGCTGAAGATAACGTCGCGTGCGCTGCAGCGCGGCGCGCAGCTGGACCTGGGCCAGTGCCTGCAGATGGAGTACAGGCTCGCGTGCCGGGCCACCACCAATCACGACTTCCCTGAAGGTACAATTATTACTTTTGAATACTTAAAACTAATACACGGCTTTCCTCAAGAGACTCGAGAACTTAATTTTACTCAATACTTTTTCTAGAGAAAGAAAACAGCTTATTAACTGTTCACATTCAGTTCAATTATCGTTTAATGGACAAAAGAGGTTTAGCTGAAGAGATTGTGAATATTTCATTACAAGGCTAAGAGTTAAAACTTTTAAGATACCAAAAGATCTATTAAATATATTTTATTTTGTGGAACCTCAAGAAGTGATTTTAGACCAAAGATAATTTTGCATCTGGGTTTCTTATGACTAATATAGACATTTTTCGATTTCACGAACTCCTGAATAGGTTATATTTTTTTTTTCAAAAATTACAAATGTTTTCTTACGTATATCGACAATAATAATGAACATAGTATTAATTCAAGAAACGAACTTCAGTGATAAGCCATTCGGAAGTTAGTAAAACCTTATTTCCTATACTTAGGTTATTATTCCCTAATTTTTATATGTCGGAACACCATACAAGTGCACATACAAATTATTATATATATACTAGCTGACCCGACAGACTTCGTCCTGTCAAAAAGATTTGTAATGTGGCAGTTTTTTTGCCTACGTATTTAAAAAAATTCTCCTGAACAGAACCGTCACCCTGGTGATAGGGCGTTGTGAATAAAAAATAATTAAATAAAACATATATAAGGATTTAAAAGTAAGTAATCGCTTTATTGTTAATCATGTGAATCATAATTATTATTGCAATGTATTAATAGTAATAGTATTAAATATAGAAAAAAGAGATTTTTATGATCATAAAAACACATTACACACAACAGCATTATAAAAGTAAACTATTCGAATTAAAAAAATATATAAACATTCTCAAGGAAAAATGCTGGAAGAATCCATCTACCTGTACCCCGGAATGGGACTCGAACCCATTCGCGATCCAGGGACTGCTCTAACCAATGAGCTATCTAGGACCCAACAGCTTTGCTACTATAGAGCGTATTTTCATCAATGTTCCGGCAATACATGTAATGACGTGGAAACTGATGCATTTTATCTCGCGTGCCGAAACTAATACAAAAGAAACGCGAGTGTCGGAACGCGACATTAAACTCCTCCAACTATGTATTCTGTGCTCCAACGCACACACGCACATTGTTTTGATAGATATGATCTTTGACGTTAGGAACACACCTACATTGCTTAGACAACAGTGAGTGCTTGTAATTTAATATGAACTTTATACCATAGCAATAAAGCTCAAATTGACTACGTTTTAGTTACAAATCATTTGTTTGGGAAAAAGAAAAGGGCTATTTTTAGGGTTTTTCCAGCAATAATTCTAATTTTTCTCGCCGTAAAAACTATCCTTGAACTTCAACGAACATTTTAAAAAAAGATTTGGCCAAATTGGTCGAGGCGTTGTTGAGTTATGCGCTTACCAACACATTTTGCGATTCATTTTTATATATATAGATTATTATTTGTGTGATGTAATTGTGTGTTGCTGAGAAAATAAACTTTTTATCTATCTATCTTTTATCTAATTATTTAATGTTGATGAACTAAATAAGATACAGAGATACATTTATTTTAACAGTTATAAATTAGTTAGACAACGAACTAATATTTTTGAGATAAATTCGTGTTGATTTTCATGTGCGATATGAAAAACCTATGCAATCTGCCGGTCATTAATATCCTGGCACCTATGTGTATGCAGGTGTCCGGGCTCTCTTGATAGACAAAGACAACAAGCCGCAGTGGAAGCCGCGCACTCTGCAGGAAGTAGACGAGGATTATGTGGAGGGATACTTCAAGCGGCTACCTGATGACCAGGAACTAAAGTTCTTTGATGCCAAGCTTTAAACTTAATCTCAATGGGACAGATCTATTTAAAAAAGAAACCAGCAGTTTATGCGCTGGATATTGTGCTGTCAAAGTCAGTTTTATTCACAGTCGGTTAATAACTCACCTGTAGTTAGTTTGTATGCCAACCTTATCCTAGTTATATTGAAACTGCATATTTTAAATGGCTTATGGTTTGAATTTAGCCAATGTTGAATCTCGCTTACAAGCGTGCTTCGAAAATAACCATTTTCTAAAAGTGATATTATTATGAGTTTCAATTGATATTGCCACTTATTTACGACGTACGATTATTGCCAAATATAGTGAGGCTTGCGTTTAAGTGAGATTCAATGTATAGTCATGAAACAAAAGTTTATATAAAAACAATAGAGAAAAAATAAATAATGAATATGCGCTTATATATTTTTAAATACGTTCAAATGTTATACAATGTTAAGTTTAAAATGTTTACAAATACTATTCTAGTACGAAATAGAAATACATAGAAAAGTGCAGCTGCATTAAAAAAATGAATTTGTAGTATTTCAGTATTTGACATATGCGTGTGTAGGTATTCGTCAGGTTATATTATTTTGGCTACAATATGGAACTGGATATATTTTATCGTAACGAGTTTCATTACTCTATGAATGTGTCAAAGTTATTAACATTGAAATAAAATAAATACTCATTTTTATTTTGTCGGTGATTAATAAACAGACTTTTATTCGGGAGCATAATAATTATAATCTAAATATAACATTAACCTGCGAATGTATATTATTTCAAATCAATTTATATCGCCATTTCAACTTGAAGCTCGCATTTTTCTTACCTTTCTTACTTATTGTGCTTTTTTAGATTACTCAAAAAAGCCTTATCACAAATTAAACCCGGACATCTCATTCTGAGACACTTTCTCAGACAAATTCAAGCTTCAGATTTTAAGTGATTCAATAAAGTAGTATTAGAATACGGTAGTTTGCTCCTTCTGTTTGAAAACAATATACACATTGATATTTAAGTATGTTATACCTACTATACAGTGATATAAAGCGAATGTTAAGGAAATCATATGGTGCTTGGTTTTGTACAGAGTAGAATGCCAGGTTCAAATAATATGTCAAATTGACGCAATTTGTGTAATTTGTCTGTTTTTACAACCTGACGCGCTTTTTACTCTACTACAACTTTAGTGAGGGTTTTGTAAATATTTATAGTGAAAACATTTGTTCGACAATGTTTCTTGCATTTATTATATATATATATATTTTTAAAGACATTTTTACATTATCACCATGAGTTAACTAAATAGTTTTTATAAGAATGTATTGACGTGAGTCAAGTAGATAGGAGAATAATCAAATCAAATATATTAATAAGAGTTCATTTTGATATGGAATGTGATGAACCTCTTGAGTCTGTCAATGTTGAAAGAGAAATAAACTACTTTTATAGTAATTTTACTTTTGTGATTGTTTTATTTTAAGTACACGCAGCAACATATCCTTGTTACTACTAAAATCCTTTCTGCAATCATTTTGATGTTAACCTCGTAAGGCCCAAGTTATTTTTGGCTAGATCAGCTGAACGCCCTATGTGCAACAGGATGTACAAGTTCTTCTCTCACAGTTCCAGCCCACGCGCATTAATTCATTTTTTTAAAGAAAATGTTGTCTAGGAATTTTTATGTTTTTTTCTGGGCACTTTAAAGTGGAAAGGAATAGGATGCAATGAATTTCAAGTTGTTATCATTTGTGCATTTGAATGCACGTTGGGTATTTAGATGATCAAAAATAAAAATGTTTTTTTATTTTATTTTAATTAATTAAGACAGAGTCACATATTCAAAGAAAAAAGTATTTGAAACTATAATAGTATAGTATACTTACAATCTAGACTTAATATAAATGAGATCAATCAACAGGAAAAAGTAATTGCAACATTTTTGGTAGAAAACTGAAAACTAATATTAGTCTTGTCAGATATACTTATCAAAATCACAAATTCTTCAAAAAATCAACTCCAAACTTAGGTAAACAGAAAGTACAAACAAAATTTGGGTAATTGACAGATGCCATCACATATGTAATGCCTAAATAGATTTATAATTCATCCGCAGTCAAATACAAACTACGACCATTTTTTTCAATGGCATTCTGATTTGTACTTCTTACTATGAGATCAATGAACTCGTCATTTATGTACTGCTTTAGGTAATCTACTTTAGTGAACCCTTCCGTATCAGGCATTAGATATGTTGGCAGAACCTTTTCGGGAAATTTTGGATCGAAATTCTTTACAGTCCAATTACTTGCAGAAACCGTTGCACTTATGGAAGGAGAGTATCTATCTTGATTTACGTCTTATCCTCTGGCTCTGCCATCTCTTCTCATTCCACGACCGCGACTAAGTCTAGCTATACTGCTCCTTGCAAATCGTGGCCTTCCTCTACCTCTTCCACGTCCTCTACCGCGGCTCACAGGTTCTGCATCTTGTGTGTCACCTTCAGTGTCTAAACTGAGATCTGAACTATCATCACTGTATTATTCTCTGAACTCTGGGTCGCCAACATCTTCATCCGAAGGTATGAAGTCTTCTACTTCAGATTGATTTAGTAATTCTTCTATTTGATCATCCAAAAGAGCTGAACACAAAAAAAAAACATTAGTAACACATACTAAACAGTAACGTCCAATGTACAAAACAATGAACATATTTTTTAACCTCATACTAAACAGTAACGCTTAATGTGCATCAGAATGTACATAAATTTTTGATACATGATACAATATAGAATCCATAGTGACTGGCTCAAAATTATAAGTTATCCTGAAAGTGATTAATCACTAAACTAGGTTAATTTTTATAAAAAGAAAGCATAAGATTTTATGAATTATTTGGAGTTTGAACTTACGCGTCTGCTGAGTCCGCGGCATGGTTATACAAAAATGGCGAAGTTTGACAGATTGTCTATGGCCCTAGTAGCATTTTTGGTACGGCAATTCGTTGGGCCTTTGTTTGCTGTTCGGTTGGTCAACTGTGGGTAATGGCACCCCTGATTGCACTGCTGCCCACAAAGCTAAAGTACCGTGGCCCACCTTTACAATTGGAGAAAGGGCCAACTGAAGCTTTTCCTTCGTTGGTCCTAGTCACCTTTTACAACGTAAAGCCAACTGCGAATTTTCCCACAATTTTCTCACATAGGGCCAACAAACATTCTATAACGTTGGGCTGACCGTTCATGGTAGGGCAACTGTGGTATTTAATTGTAGGCCTAACTTAACTTTTACTATATAAGGCCAACTGCAGTGCTCCTCATAAAGGGCCAAGGACACAGGGCCAACTAAGATTTACTCATAATAGGGCCAACATATTTTGCAAAGTAAGGCCTACATACACCATCTTTGTAGGGCTTACAAACTGACTGCACAGTATATCATCAAATTCATGAAAACATATGAATATCAGCACTATTAAAAAGTATCAAATGGCCAACCAAAATATCGTAATAAAACATTTAATTAAAAAATGTATTTATCAAATGTTTTTACCAATGTTGATAAATACTCATGAACCCGATGACATGTCTACTATTCAGTCAGTTTGTAAATCCCACAATAATGTGTCTGAAGGTCTTACTTTGTAAAACAATGTTGGCGCTATAACGAGTAAATCCTCAGTTTGGCCCAGTGTCCTTGCCTTTTATGAGGAACACTGCAGTACGTCTCGTAGTCTTGGTGGGCATCTTGGTGAGGCTGTAAAAATAAAATACAATTGTTAATTTAACCATATTTTATTTGGCTGAAAAACCATAAATAGGCGTGAAACAAAAAAAAAACAAAACTTGAAAAAATTACAATCAGTAGGTTTTTAAAACATATTATAGCTGTGTAAGAGCACCGCAAATTGTATGGAATTGACTCACTCCCCACACTCTTAAAATTGAAACTAGCATTTCTCATTGAGTAAATCAAGCTTAATAGTGCAAATTCATACTCACATAAGGTACACAGATAAATGAATGGTCATTACTATCAAAATTAGGCAACAATAAACATTTCTTGCTTAAATTGTTTGAATTGACAATAAGATTTTTTTCACCACTGACCATGTATATTCACAATTTGCTACTTTCAATGGATTCTTTGTAAAAATCTTTTTGTTTGAAAAACTATTATAGTGTAAAGTATAAGCATCAGATTTTGCTTCTACTTCAATAGATTTAACCACAATAATATCTCCATTGAAAGTAACAAAACAAGAATCTCTTAAACAAGTACTTACAGCACATTTAAATACAAAAAAAATCTTTTTATCCGTCCATCACGAATTATAGCCTTATTATTTTTCTTACTAATATTCACATTATTATCAAATTTCTTGTCAGCTGCTTTTTCACCCAGCCATTTAGCAATTTTCTCTAATGGCATATTATGCGAACGAAGTAACCTTTTTATTTTACACATGAAGTTTTCAAAAGGAAATGTTGAAAAGGAATCTAATTCTCCAAAGTTATATACATCATACATTATTTTGATCAATATTATTACAACACAATATGTATATTGCACAATAAAACATCAAAAAATGTTTATACAAACTACTCGATAATATATTTTTTAAAACAATGGGACCCAAATATAAAAGAAAAGCTCTAAATTCTGTTGCTTTCCAATACTTGAATAAACTCAAAGACCTAGGCTGTCTCGAAAATTCGGTGGGATAATGTACGTATAATTTTTAACCATTCTGATACTTCGGATATTTTAGAAGCATTTAATTTACATTTTTTTGGTCCATTACATATGCAACTTTGTATCATTTTTTTCATAACGCCTAAACAAACTAAACGCATAAAGTCTAATGGGACTTGCGTCACTAAACCTAAATCAAGTTCTGTAATTCAGTTTTAGATATGTGATGATATTCATATTCTTGACGAAAAAATTTTGTGTCAGTTCGAAGGCACATGTAGTTTTTCTCTTTTCTCTTCCTCCATCGCAATCTTTAGTAAATCTGAACCAACCACTTACTATATTCTGAATTACATCATCAGTTGCGAACTCTGCAATCTTACGATGACGTACAGCATCTGTGATAATTTCCAACAGGTGAGTTGCATATCACATACTACAAGTACCAACTAATGTTATTATTAATGTATAGCAATAATGAATTGTAATTTTACAATCAACACAAATAATTAATTAGTAAAAATGTTGTTAATTTAATTACCTTTTATTATCTTTACTATACGAAGATCCTTTAGGGAAGTCTTTTTATTTTTCCCTGTCCAGTTACAATTGACAGCAAGGTTGTTTGTGAACACTTTTTCGAGTATCCTTTTAACTATGGCTGGAGGTTTATTGCCGCCAATATAACTCAAATGATTTACCTGCAAATGTTAACAGATTACTAAATTATCGCATCTGCTAGATTTTGTTTTTCTTCTACGTCATATGATTTACTATCTGCTATATTGCTATAGGTACTTTTAACTAACAAGCTCAATTTAGTAAAAAAATTAAACAGACCTCCTATACCAATCACTACCCATATATTGAAAACTACTCAACAGAATTGAAGAAACTTGGACTGTTCCCCAAGTTGAACAATACCTAACTTATATCAAAAAGAATCATCTCAATACAACATAGTTTCCAAGAAATCGGTGGACAAACATTCATACACTTATAAAATTAAGCACACATGCTTAGAGCCTAAATGGATCATCATACTCAAATATTATCCAATTCCAACAGTATTATGTACAAGTCAAATTGCTAACCTCTTTTTTTGAAGTCGGTTAAAAATTGTAACGGTAAAAAGTGATCCCTATCCGGAAATACGAATACAAGATATAAAACTATCGCACGTTGTTTAACCTAAGCTCTGATATTACAAGGCGATAATTTTTAACCAACTTAAAAAGGAGGTATGGAATTGCCATACATATAGTATGATGATCCCTTAAGATCCCTTCCATACACCTGTGCTTAATTTCGCGTGTGTCTGTTTGCATGTTTATTCACCGATTTCTTGGAAACTATTAAGTTGTTCAATACAACTTCATACATGATTCTTTTTCATAAAAAGTCAGGTATTAAAAAAAGTTGTCATAATAGTTTTTGACAGTATTATTATCAATGTAGGGAGAAGTCAATACTTAGTCAAACTTTATGGTAAATAATAAAAAAAACATATGAATACTTGCCAACAGTTTATAATTAATTATCATTTGAAATCCAATTTTCTAAATCTTGTAAAGATTGTTAATCATCACATGATATTTTAATACCATCAGGCAACATAGCAGGTGATAGAGTTGAAGATGGATTCCTTAACCTTATTAAGATCTCATTTTGATTTGATTGCAATTCTTTAATAGCAAATTCAATGTTAGCTAGATGGCAGGCAATTACATCTGAAAATGTATTTCATATCACTTAGGAATTATTAAACTTATTCATAGCTATATTTATGCATAAAAGAGCATAGCAATATTAACATTATATTTTTTACATCTGTTAAAAAGTAATAATGTACAATACTTGTGTATTTCTTACCTAGACACTGCGAGTTAAGCAAATTGTCCTTAAAATAAGTGTCAATGTTAAATCCAATCATACTGAAATATAATTACAATAATGTCATTTATATGCATTTAATAAGAATTTAATATAGCATATTTGTAAATAACAAATCAGGTGCAGCCAAGTGTAAAACAAAAAAGACTGAATTAATATTAAAGTAATAGTAAGTACATATAAGATAGTGTTTTTGAAACATCAGTATTGCCGGTAGTACTGCTTACATCTAAAAATTGGATAGGAATTATTGCAATGTGATTAATTCCACAAAGCGAGGTTGTGTATGCTTATATTATTTAGCCATACAATTAAATATTATTTTATAGCTTGCATACACAGCATATTGGTAGTCTCACAACCATAACCATATTAACACACAAGTAGATAGTCCACAACCTATTTCACTAGTTATTGAAATGCTTACTGTACCTGCTGCATGTCTGTATAAATAAATTGTGGAAAATCTGCACTAAATTATGGAGTATTTAGTGATGCACTAACAGCTTACCCTCTTATTTGTCTTAAAAATATACAATATAAATAGGTTTTATAAGATTCTCAAGCTAGGACAGGCTTAAATAAAAAACTCACTTTTGATAATCACCAGGTCAAGTATTATACAAAGACTTACCGGTTTCATAAAACATACGTCTTATGCTGTAAATATTCCAGGTAGAATCAGGATCTGTGCCATCGATCAAACTTTAATTTATCTTCTTGTTTGATGGCCAAACACAACTATTTTTTCTAGGAGTCGACCATTGTTGTCGAATAACGCCTACGCCGCCATCATCAAACTCTACCTCCTTGTACATTGTGTATTGTTAATATCTTTATATCTATATAAATAAAAAACGAAGTTGATTAACACTATGATAGGTACATATTTCAGCAAATTCAAATGTTAATTTGTTATATAATGATTTGAAACAAGGGGAATCAACAAAAACTTACGCGGTTCAAACGTAGACATCAAACAAACGGCGGTTGTGCAGTGTTGCCGCTAGTCACCCAAGAAAAGTCCGAAACTGATTCGAAAATTACCCAAATTTACCCGTAATGTTAATTTTTTAACCAACTGTAAAAAAGATGGTTTATTTATTTATTATTTGAAAAAAAAAGCGATTTATTTTTACATACGGTATGTTTATAAAAATTAACAGAACTTATTGTGATATTATTTGTTTTTAGGACCGATTTATGTCTTCTAAAAAGGTGATCTAAACTTTATTACTTATTTGATATAAAAAACAGGATATATAAAAAAATACCAGTTTGGTCTTTTTTTACATTAAGTAAATATTGTTTTGACAAAATACAGAGTAATTATTTATTAAAATCACAATAGATAGAGAAAGAGAACAACAGCACATGTTAATGTCACACACGCCACACATTGTACTGCTATACTATTCGGTCCAGTTTTACATGATGCCTAGGGGCCTACTCTATTTCCTTGAAATAGAGCGTGAAATTGAAAATAATTTCTATTTGACAGGTCAATATAGTGATTTCATTATATAACAAAGAGGTTAAATTATAGGCATAGCATGGCATTTAGTACTGATTATTACCGAGGTAATCGACTCTAATACTGAATTTAATATTTTAGCATTAACAATGCTTTTTTATAATTTTGTATCATGTTTATACACGTTAGATTTATTTCGATAAATTTTTGAAAATCTTGTTAAATCAATTATATTATAGACTAACTTGCCCGTGACTTCACTCCCGTAGTTAGGATTTTGTGTCAACACGATTTTTCCCGCGTAAATCCCGAACTCGCTTGAATTTGGGGTAAAAAGTAATAAAAACTATCTTCCAGTGAAAGTAACATCAAAATCAGTTCAGTCATTCCGGAGACTACCCCTTACAAACAGAAAGACAGAACTTTTTATACTTTCGAATGATATTATGTAATGTTTTTAATCTAAGTATGCTGTAATTCTCAAACAAAGCAATTTTTATAGATTACCCCCAAAAACATTGTCAAATCCAAAGTCTCCATTCTCCTTTACCCAACATATGTTGGTAAAGGACAATGTGGTAGTACTGTTGTATAATGAAAATTAGATCGTACAAAGGTGTCAAATTGTGTTATGTCAGAAAAATCTCTAGAGTAAGTAATAAGTAACACCTTAATATTTTATTTGTTGGATATTTTCTCAAGTGAATTCTCATTACATAACATTCTTTAAATATATGCATATATATTTTGACATTTTCTCTGATGCTGAGAATATAGTCCAAATTGGGAGAACGTCCTTACATCTAGCAACATTAGCTAAATCAAAAATAAGATGGCGTCTCTTTGAGCCTTTGTTGGCGTTTTCGGTTGGGAGTCGTTGAGATATTATTAAAATACTAGATAGGGCCCTCATCAGATATCTGTATTAACTTTTTCTTAAAAATCTAACTCAAAACTGTGGTAGGATGGGGTAGTATGTTTGGGACATTCTTTGCATTTTCAGTAGGGATATTAATAAAAATACTGCAGTTGGGCTCAAACCAATTTTTATGAAAGAAGATGGGCCAAGGACGGCACTACATAAAGATTAAAAAGTGCTACGAAGATAATAATCACAATAAAACTAAAAAAAAATATAATGAATTATCAATGTTAAATAAAATAATTATAACTCCGGAAAAAAAATGGTTTATTAATTAGTTTAATCCGCAAAATATGAAATGATAAAACTTGATTTTTCAGAAGTATTTTTATATGAGAGGTTTACAAGATAAAAGAAGAATAAATAAGAAGTCTGTCTGTAAAGTTTTGTGCATGTTCACAAATATTAATATTAGTACTAAACTCAAAACTAAAGTCGTGGAGGGGTTAGTTTGAAAATTAATAAGGTTTTTCAGTTGGGATATTAAGAAAAATACTATAGTTGGACTTACGCCTGATTTTGTATGGAATTTTCGTTACAATACTAACTAAAAGTAAGGCCTAGTTTGAAAATAAGTAAGACTTTTCAGTTGGCATATTATCAAAATACTGTGGTTGATCTCACGGCAGATTTTTGTGTGGGATTTTTGTTAGGATTCCGGCTAAAAGTCGTGGTAGGGCCTAGTTTGAAAAAAAGTAGGGCTTTTTAGTTGGGATACTAATAAAAATAGCGTGGTTGGCCTTACGCCATATTTTCTATGGAATTTTTGTTAAAATTTCTGCTTCAACTCGTGGTAGGGCCTAGTTTGAAAATTAGTAGGACTTTTCAGTTGACATACGATCAAAATGCTTTGGTTGGGCTCATGGAAGATTTTTATGTGGAACTTTTGTTAGGATTCCAACTAAAAGTTGTGGTAGGGCCCAGGTTAAAACTATGTAGGGCTTTTCAGTTGGGATATTAATAAAAATACTATGATTGGGCTTATGCCTGATTTTGTATGGAATGTTCGTTATAATACCAACTAAAAGTAATGGTAGGGCCTAGTTTGAAAATAAGTAAGAATTTTCAGTTGGCATATTATCAAAATACTGTGGTTGGGCTCACGGCAGATTTTTGTGTGGAACTTTTGTTAGGATTCCAACTAAAAGTCATAGTAGGGCCCAGGTTGAAAATTTGTAGGGCTTTTCAGTTGGGATATTAATAAAAACACTATGGTTGGGCTTACGTCTGATTTTGTATGGAATGTTCGTACCAATACCAACTAAAAGTAGTGGTAGGGCCTAGTTTGAAAATAAGTAAGAATTTTCAGTTGGCATATTATCAAAATACTGTGGTTGGGCTCACGGCAGATTTTTGTGTGGAACTTTTGTTAGGATTCCAACTAAAAGTCATGGTAGGGCCCAGGTTGAAAATTTGTAGGGCTTTTCAGTTGGGATATTAATAAAAATACTATGGTTGGGCTTACGCCTGATTTTGTATGGAATGTTCGTAAGAATACCAACTAAAAGTAGTGGTAGGGCCTAGTTTGAAAATAAGTAAGAATTTTCGGTTGGCATATTATTAAAATACTGTGGTTGGGCTCACGGCAGATTTTTGTGTGGAACTTTTGTTAGGATTCCAACTAAAAGTCGTGGTAGGGCCCAGGTTGAAAATTTGTAGGGCTTTTCAGTTGGGATATGAATGAAAAACTATGGTAGGGCCAATATAACATTTTGGTATGGCATTTAAGATGGCAACCCAACCAAAAATCATAGTAGGTCCTTCGTTGGGTTAACGTGAGAAATATTTGTGAGAAAAAATAACAATAAATGACAGTAGGGCCATAGTTGGATGTGCGTATGGTATTTTTTCCTGCAATAAAACTGTTGGCAGATAGTTGGAACTTTGTAATAAATCTCACTAACGTTTTCCCAACTTGTTCCCGACCGTATTGCACGGTTGGCCAACCCAAAATGCTACTAGGGGGACTTCGGTTAAATGTCACATGAACTTCCTGCCAATTAAATAATCAATCACAATGTTCAAACGAAATTATCGTTGGCGCGAAAACTCAAAAGCAAAATCCATAAAACCCGAATGTACATCGTAATGTAC